TATATAGAGCAACACACAGAAGCAAATAGTTTTCGAAGGCATATAATAAGTAATAAATAAACGAGACACTTATATGGAACTTCTTTATGTCTATTACTTCGAAGGCATATAATAAGTAATAAATAAACGAGACATGTCGGCACTATTTTTGGTGTGGGGTTTGCTATTTTTATTTTGATGTTTAAATCTTGGAGACTCAAAAAATCTACATCGACTCTCTGATGCATTAGTCTTATAAAATAACATGTTTTTATTTACTCAATAATCAATCTTCTCTGATTCCAAACTTAACTTGGAGACTAATATTTTTCATTTTGTATAAGTCTTATTGAATTAACGTTTTTTAGGATTTATCTCTTTTAGTAATTCTGCAAATTGATGGAAGAACTCTAGCTGCATGTTAAACTTTGTTTTAATTTTCAACATTTTGAGAGCTACAACTAACTCATAATAGAACGTACAACCTTCCTATAGTGTTCCTTGTGTCACATTCAATAATTCATAGACCACCTGAGCTAATTGATTTGGTGGATCTTCTTCTGATTGACTTGGATATTAAAAACTTATTCATCGAAGACCATTTCTACAAATCTAATTGATTCAAACTTTGGTGGAGGATTATAGCTCATTGAAGGAGCAAAACTAATTGAAGGCTCAACCTCTTTATGTAAAGTCCAAAACTAATAATCAGATTGAAATCCCCACTCAATAAATAATATCTGATTGTGTCAAGCATTTAGTATGCTCAATTCCTATGTTTTTGAACATGGACACCAAAACATACCCTTGGATAGATAAGTTAGAAGTTGGGATACCGCTTGCAAGAAGGTATCAACACAGTTCAAGAGCTCTTCAATGAGTACATTTCTTGATTATAGCCCATTGTACATTCATGAGCTTAATATATGAATCCATATATAACATATCTATTTGATAAAAGAATTCATAAAATTGCAACTGCTACCTGGAAAAGTTAATTTTTTTCATATATAAATTGAATAGCTAAGAGACTTACATACTACTCTCATCGCAGTCAAAACTATAATATCACATCAATAGCATCACTATTACAACTTCTTAGAAGTGAAATACACATTTTCATGCATAAGTATAAAACACCAGAGTGATATATGTAAACTCAAAAGTTTAGGTCCGAGGTTTAAAAATACGAATGACATGTGTGCTTGGTATGTGAATTTCCTTTTAAAAAGGCATATCACCCAATTTTTTTGTATTATATATTTCAAACCTAAATTTTTATGGTTTCACAACTAACACTCCAAACTTTAATATCACATAAAAAAATATCACCATTATTATTTTTAAGAAAATAAATACACATTTTCATGCATATGCTTAAAGCATCGAAGTGTCATGTATGTAAAACACAAAAGTTTTGGTGTGAAAGATGTAAGAACTTAAGAATTGTGTGCCATATATGCAAATTTGTCTTTAAAATTGTTCATTTACATATCCCAAACCTATATTTTAATATTCACAGATAACACTCAAAATTATAATATCATCACCATCACCACTTTTTTAAAGTGGAATACATCATTTCATTCATAGGTTTAAACTGCCAAAGTGCGACTCTATAAATTTGCAATTTAAATGTGTGAATTACAAAAATACTTAATCATTGTGTGCTAGGTATGTGAATTTGCCTTTAAAAAGGGGCGTTTACATTCATAGCACACAATTCTTAAGTATTTACATATCTCAAACCTAGATTTTCATATATTCATGCATGGTTTTAAAGAACCAAATTGTAATGTTTGTAAATATGAAAATTTAGGGGTGAGATAAATGAAACATAAGATTTGTGTGCTAGGTGTGCAAATTTTTCACTAAAATTTAGTTGACAAATGTGGAAAGACCTAAGAGACGAGTCATATGCATGTGATAATGAGAAACAACATCAATTTTGTAGAAAACCGAATCAAATTCTTAAATTTTACCAAAACACTTATTCTCAAAATGTATTAAATCTTAAATAAAAACTTTAAGGAATAATGTGATCGATTTTACCTACAATTTGAGTGTAATAAATTGAGAGATTGTTAATCATGAAAAAATTGAGAGTGGAGGGGGTGTTAGTTAGCTTAGAAGTAAAGGAGAGTGTGAGAGGAACATGAGGAATTTCAAACCATAATTTGATATAAGTAGTCTTTTCAATGATTTTCCGACAAATTTTGATTGCCAATTTTTAATTTCTTAAGAACCAACGTAGACTATTGGCTAAAATATAATGACTATCGACTATCAAGAAAATAAAAGTTGACATCCGCCTCTCTGACAGTGTATGACCGCCACTATTTAAGTTGTTATAAACTGTCAGGTTAACCGTCAATTAAAATATCACAACAGTCAATTATTAAGAAATAAAAATCAATGTCTAACATTCTGATATTGTTTGGCCGTCGCTTTACACAATTGACATTTTTGACCATCAGATCATATTTAATAACCGTTGTTTACTAGATTCACTAAAAATCCACAGGGAGTCCCGTTTGAAAGCCGCATTTTAACTTAACCTTCGGAAAGCCGTCGAAATTAATAGTAAAAGAGCCTACACATCGAGACCATCGAGCTTTCAACCATTTTTTTTTTTTTGTATTTTCTATAGTGAAACATGGACACTTAATTATACTATTTTTATAAACATTTTGTGACTAAAATGCTTCATTAATAAATATCTAGACTCTCTACAAAAATCATCAACGCCTTTCTTTAGAAAGTAATCTATTATACAAAGAATTTGATATATTTTATCATTCATTATATTTCTATGAATCATGTAAAAATAGAGTAAATTATTGCACATATAGTAATACTTAAGTACTAGAACTAACATAAAAATGTTATTATTTACACAATGATTGATACGTTAGTAATGCCTAATTAATAGATTATCCTAAGGATAATATGTTGGTGATAATCACTGGATTATTCTTTGATAAAAAAGCTTATTTCGATTGTTTATTTGTTATTAATTGTCGATAGAACCTTTTTCATCATAAATATGCCTTGTTGTTTGTCAAATTTATTATTGTGGATGCTTATGAACAGCAAAGCCAATCAAATAAACATTCAAATCGTCGAACATGTGAATTGCTCTTAATAAGAGGTATATAATGAGGTGTCACAACAATGATTTTCGGGTTATCCATCCAAAAGTCAATCCACTATGAATACTTAAGATGAATATTAACTAACCTTTTAAAGCTTATGTTTTATTTCAAAAATTAATTTCATTCTCCAAGATTATATTGAAAGATGGATAAATTGCACAAGGTAAAATTACTCAAATATTCAAAAGATTTTTAAATCCTCTGGTTAAATATTCGATTCATTTAGTCTTTCAATTTTTGTTATTTTATAAAATAATATAAAAAAATATTAAAACTAGTTAAACACATACTTTTGTTGATAAATTTCAAGATTCAAAATCACAATATAATATTTGTTTGAAACCTTTTATTATGTTCAACATGATTACAACTTAGTTCCAATGAGTTTGAACTTTATGCTATCTGAAGTGATTTTATTTTTAAATTAATCAAACTCAGATGTATTTTGATAATTATATCTTAACATCTAAAATGGATCAAACTTGAATCATTATTTTCAAAATTAATTGGCATCTCCAAGTAAAAGAAAATTAAATCTTGAGTTTTGAGCCAATTCTAATTGAATTCGAGTTATTTTATGATTTATTTGGTTATTTCTAAATGAAAAACACTAATTGAATTCAAGTTATCTTTATGATTTATTTGGTTATTTCTAAATGAAAAACAAGTTTAAAAATGAGTTTTTTAATCATTTGATATTTAATTTCAATCCAAAATTAAAAGTGAATTGAAAATAAAAATTAATATTTAACAATGATGATTTTAAAAAGCTCCAAAAAAATTTCAAAACTTTGAAGGGCTTATATCAACAATTAGGACTCATAAAGTCGCAAATCGCAATGAACCTTCCCGCCAAAAAATAAGAAAATAAAAACACGAAAATACCCTCCATGCGTTTCATAGTCCGCGACTTACCTTGTCCATGCTATACCAGCCAATCAAACTACGGTACGTACCGTCCTCAAATCAGCACCGTCGATATTTCTAATAAATCATTTCTTATCCTATACCACCTGAACATCCAAACACTTCTTCGACCTTTCTTCTCTTCGCTCTCTCCCTCCGCTTTGGCCGGAATCATGGATGCCGCCGGCGATGACCTTGACCTCCTCCTCTCCCTCGGAGGAGACAAAGTACCAGAAACACCTCCCGGCTCTCCTGCTTCCTCCCACCCGCAGTTCCACGGTACCGTTTTCCTTTCTTTTTTTTTTTGTTCAACATAACAAATCAATAAACAGGATTGAGAGTACCCTTTTCTCTTTCTGCTTTCGTTTTTGCAGGATATGTATCTGATGATGGATCACCAAGGAGGCCCAGGGCCAGCGACATGTCAGTCTTCCGGGAAGCTGTAAGGGATTACCTCGATTCGGAGCCAACTGTTCCGAAGGTACACCATTCCATAAATAAATCCGAGGGGAAGACACGGGAAGTGGAGATTGAGAGATTTTCTGGTATCAAAATTCGGTTAGTTGCAGAAAATTGAAGTCCCTCCCTCCCTCCCTTCTGAGTGTTTTGTGTATATTTGATTGGCGGGGGATTTTTTTTTGTTGAAATTTTGGATATATTTTAGTATGCGTAAGTGTATATTTTTTTATTCTTAACAGGAATCAGCAGGTATCGCCCGTTGAGCTGAGCAATCGCTTCTCTGATGTGAGATTTGTTCGGATGTCAGCCATCAGGTGCTCTGCAATTGGTTTATTTTAGATGTTTATAGAGATGCTGGCATTAATTAACGCCTCTTTGATCCTAGGCTTAGTTGTTACCTTTCTTTAAGCTTGTCAAAACTCATAAACTATGCTAAGCTTGATGAGGTTTTATGTCATGAATATTCTCAGGACTTTATTGTCCGGAGAC